AAATATAATCATGGCATTAAACCATTCATATATACACATTCTTTTTAAAAAGAAACATGCATGGAATGAGTAATTTTAGATATGTTGGGTCAAAATAATCAATAGAAAACTGAAATAATGACATAGTGGTAGAAGAGCAAATTTTCCAAAGAATACAATACCAGAGATTAAGAGTTGTTGAACCCAGCCATTCTTAATTTAACAAAGGCTTACCAAAATTGTGCAAAACTGACAGAGTTTGATGGAGACCATTTTGGTAGTCAGGTGATTTAACACTGCAGAGGCGGAGATATGAAACAGAAGATCAGGGTGTGTCACATGTGAACCAGACCCACATGTACAGAGTTCAAACTAGTTACCTTATTGTTCTTTGCCATTAATACAAGAATATTCCCATACTGGCAGTTTTTGCCTCAGAAAGACTAGATAAGGCTCAAATGCATTGGGGAGGCGGAGGGGTACTCTCTTGTATTTACATAGTGAGTCCAGGCTATGGTTTGGGATGGTTGCAGTCCGAACTATAAACTCTGTTGTACATACCCATGAGATCATGATTAGAGAGTGTGGTTCTCTAGAATTTTGAGTGAAGTTTGGAAAGTTTGCTTTTCAAAATATTTTAAGTCTATTTTAGGTCTTATACTTCATTTTTTAAAGCAATCATACAAATTGTTAGCAGTTGTGACTCCAGGGAACTCAGAAATGGGGGTTGCTACACTGCAGCTGGAAATTCTCATCCATGGGCTAAATGCATCAATTACTTTTAAAATACAAGTAGGGAAAGCATACGGATAGTGTTTCTCAACCTTAGCAATTCCCCAAGACCCAAATATCTTAAAGTTGTCAAGTTTGAGAAGCACCGATATAGAGCATGATTTTTGGATTTGGCTATAAAGAGGCATCTGTGTGAACTTTCCATTTTAATAAAATAATATGTCACATTTTTGTGGGTGCTTGTCTTACGAGCATGCTTTTGCTCTTTTGTCTGTGTTTGTCTGGAGGTGTCTACTAGATAAATATTCTTTGCTCTGGATCAAACGACAAGGAGGGAGGACAGTTCAGAATGGAGGAATTGGCAGTGTTGTGTGTGTATTGGCTGACTTTTTCTGGATTTTTTTTCCTTACCAGATCCTAGCAGGAGTCCATCTGTTTTTTATCTTGGTTTTTCTTTTGAGAGCTGCTCTTATACACGTTGAATGAGGTCCCATTCTGCAGTTTCCAGAGACTTATCATACAGGCAAGCAGATTGACAGAACTTGGAGCCTCTATATAAAATTACTTTCCAACATACTTAACTTCCAACATTCTGTTGGGTTGGAAAGAATCAGTGCATACTTTTTATCAAAATAAATAGCTGTCAAGCGGTATAAACATATCTATATATATATAATTAATTTTTCTTAGAAGTCTTTTAAGCAGCTGCTAAAACTGTTCTGTTATGGTTATAGTCATTAACTATTTTAAAAAGTCTCTTTGTTTTATTTTAACCTTTCTTTCTTACCAATTTTGTTTAAGCTGATTTTTTTTGCTATATTTTGTTTTTATGGTTTAATTATAAACAGCTCCAATATATACATTGGTATGGTTTGCACACTGCACTACCCATGATTTTAATTCAGAATTTGTATGATGAGTTTCACAAATGGCAACCTATAACATAACAAACCACAATGGAGCTTAAAAGGATGTGTAAAGCCACTCATATAGTAGAAGGAAATAGTGTTTCAAAATATTAATAAAATTAATAATATTAAGAAATAAACTTTTTATGATATGGAATGCCATCTGGTCTTCCAGATGTTGCTGTCAGCTTCCAGAAATTTTGCTTATTTTTTTGTACGCACACATGTATGCACAACATATGCACCTAGTTTTGAAAAGATCAGCACTCCCTTCACCACTGAAGGGACACTGCCTAATTCCTTGGAGATATTCTTAGAACCTAAGTTTTGTATATAATGTTCTATTATAAAATCAAATGTTCTATTATAAAATCAAATTATTACGTGCTTTTAAAAAATCATAAATAGTAGATATCTTATTGCTTTTCTATTTTATATTCTGAATAGATGGCAGAAAATAAATGTGTCTGAACAAGTCAAGATCCATGCTTTCAAGGAATAAGTTGAAGGAAAGGACTTTTCAGTTCTTCAGTTCTACTAGGTATTTTCATACATACATACATTAAGTACGTGCATATGAAAACTGTATCTGTATATTAAATGGAAGAAAATATTGTTCAGAAGTACACTTTATCCAGGTTAGAAGTGACATTTGGATAACGGGTAAATCTGAAATCAATCAAAATCGGAGAAAAATTCTACCTACAAACCAACAAGGTGAGTTTGATAACAATAGAGCTAATTTGGATTAGTAGTTAAGAAACCATGCTAAAAAGTAGGAGATTGTGAGTTCAAGTCCTCTCTTAGCCAGCTGAGTAGCTTTGAGCCAGTCAGTCTCTCTCAGCCCAACCTGCCTCATGGAATTGCTGTTGTGAGGAAAATAGGAGTAGGAAGGCGTGTTGGATATGTTCACTGACTTAAATTGTTTGTAAAAACGATAAAGGCAAGATATAAATAAATAAATAAATAAATAAATAAATAAATAAATGGAAATAAATGGAAATAAATAAGTAAATGGAAATAAATAAATAAATATTTATGAAATGGCATTGTGAGGGGGGTTGGGGACGTGGAGACAGGGTGCCTTCCAAATGATGGGATGCCAAGTTAGTTTTAATGAAAAATAATTTGCCAATGAACTAACCACAAGCCAAATGTCATGCCAACCATTTTTGATAGATAATTTGATCATTTTTTCCCAATAATCAATGTCTAGAATGCAAACTAGTAAAGGCTTCAAAGATGTTATTTGTTCAAGAAACAGAATAAAGAACAGCAAAGTCCCAAGTGCTAAATATTACAAAATACTCCATTCACCAAAAGCAAGCTGATGATGCTCAGAAAGAAAAACAGATGAGATATTTACCATTGCAATATTCACACGAATTTACATTTGAACTATTATGGAAAATACATCCCATACAGAATAAACATAGTGTATTAGCTAAGGCAAAACCACATCAGGTAGAAAGACAACTGTTTTGTTCCATAGCATCCTTCTAGCACATCTCCTTATTAGCTGCTCTCCTCACATACTCTGTGCAGAATGGCTATGTTTGCACAACTTTCTTAATTTGTTTATTTATTGTTAATATCTCAATTTATATGGTTGCCCATCTCAAGTTCATGAGTCTGGAATATGCCTCTTCTGTTGGACCTAATGGGACAGGTAGATACAGAATAACGGGGAAGAGGTGGCCCCTAAAATCCCCCGCCCCATGCCATGAAGGGCTTCACAGTTTAAAACCAGCAGCTCATAGAGCATGTACTGACTGAAGAGTGCACATACTGCCCATGGAGCTGCATTCTGTACCAGCTGTAGATGCTTTTGAATTAACCATTTTTGGATCCATACAACATACTGTATTCCAAATTCACTAAATAAATTTAGCTTGCATAGCCTGCTAAAGCACAAATTCCTGCCCATGGTTAATATCAAACAAGCTTAACATGCTATACTAATATAGCAGCCATGGCTTACCTGGCTTAAATCTTTTGAGGTTGTACCAACCAAGCTTTTCAAAAAAAGTTGTGAGCAGCATTTTCATATGACAATGTGAATCTATTGCTCACTTAGGAACCACAGACATTCTTAGACATAAAATAGAATCACAGGTTGGCACTTGATTTTCCAAACTGGAAAATTATGCTATTGGAAAATTATGTAATACCATTGCCACCAATCAAGAAATGTAGAAACTCTGGTGAATGCCAAGGAAAATACTGTGGGCAGACTTGGGGACTCCAACATAAAATAGAATATTTTGTTGTCAGATAATCTAACTCTCTTCTCAACACACACCCAAACATACCAGGTGAGATTTGAGACCTGCGTAATGGGTACATGTGTGAACAAAGAGGTTGCATAAACAGATTATCCCAAAGGCTTATCTAAGTCCAGCATCCTGGGAAATCCCAGGAATCTGTCAAACATAAGCTCCCTCCTACAGACAGATCCTTCAATTCTTATTTAAGGCAGATGGGCTTAGATTCTGTTTCCGGAAACAATGCAATCAAAATCAGTATTATTTTTTAAAAAGCATCTAATATTCTTATTAAAAAGACCTCTCATTTATTAGATGGTTTCACACAACCCAGCTGACTTACAGTGCTATTGCCTTTTTATATTTTAGCATTTTGCAGGAACCCAGTTGCCATCATTTTTAACTCATGACATAATAGTTTATCATTTGTGTGAGTTTATCCAGTTGTGATTTACTCTATAAACTACAGTTAAACATGATTGTATGTGTAAAAAGTGCATGGCTACGTCAAGGCTACTTTGCCATTGTTTCATCTAGGATATTTTTGAGATTTCCTACCTGGGCCAAAAGCTCTGGTATTTCCAAGTGATTTTTCCACCGAATTGCTAACCAGACTCAGGCTTAACTATATGGAGATCAACTGAGGCCATCTCAGTACTGTTCTGAGAACTCCACTGATTAATCATGCACTTAGCGGATCAGAAGAAGTACTGGTACTGGTATTGTACTTTCTTTCCTAACATTGACTTTCCCATCAGTAAGGTTGGATGATCTGGGATTCCCAGTCTGATGATAGAGAAAAAGTTTACCTGATCCTGTTTCTCCACCTCATAATTCAAATTACTCCCTCATCATACCTTCCCGCAAGGCTCTTGCCTTCCATTACACTTCCCACTCATTCCAAGCATCGTGAAGTGTAGGTCTCTAACCTCCGCACCTAACCTCACCTGTAAGGGATGGAAGCCCCATTCACTGGTGATATCCCACACTTATTTCTGTGCTCTGGGGTGGCTTTAGGTGGCCGCTTCCTCCTCCTCGTTGGCAGGGGGTCCAAGATCCCCCCCCCGTCCCGACCCTCCCCTGGACCCCCGCGGTAGGGATCCCGCCAGAGACTCACCGGGTCCTCCCGCTGAGCGAGGTCACCAGCAACAGGAGCAGCAGCAGCAGGAGGAAAAAGCCCAGCCAGCTTGCGCTGAGGAGGAAGGCGCCCATGGTCCGAGTAGACGCTCACGCTCTTTTCCCGGCGCGCTTTGTGCCCCGTCTGTGCCGCTCTCGCCTTTTTCTCGCCTCCGCCTTCTTTCCGGCCCCTCGTGCCCTTGGCGCTCCCCTTCTTTACTCTCCTTGCCAGCAGCCCCTTTTTGAAGCGCTCCGCCTCCGCTCCCGGTCCGCGTTTTGGCTTCACCTCAGCCTGACCGCAGAGCTCGCTTTGTGCAAGGGAGGAAAGTGGGCGATTGCGTCTGTCTTTCCTCACCTGGCTTCAGCTCAGCCCGAAGGGGTTGCTGAAAGATTTCAATCTCGTTTTTCTTCCCGGTGCTTTGAGAAGAGATTTATCGGGAAAAGGGAAGCCGTGAGCTAATCCCAGGGAGTCCAGATTTCCTCAACCGGGCGCTCTCCCATTACTTACGGCACAATTGGGATAGGGCGCGGGAAAGGAGCAAAATGGAAGCAGGTTGCTTCAATGCATTACAATTCACCTGAAAAAGCAGCTCATAAATTGATGGGTTGATCTTATTTATATGGTCACACATTGCAGATAGCAGGACAAAACAACAAAACAATTTCAGAAACATTCAAAAAATACAAAAAACATATTTTAGGAGGCTAAGAGACAGCATCATACTTCAAACCATGGAGCCACCTAATCGAATTATTGTTTCCTTGAGATCCCCAAGCCTTTTGGCACAATCAGATTTTAAGGGACTTCCCAAAGGTCTGAGAGATGGGTAAAATCAACCTGGGGGAGGCAGGGATGTGGAGGACTCTCCTCTTCAATAAACTGCAACCTTCTTTCTAAAGTAGTCTCCATTTTGTTTATTCCTGGCTTGGACTGGATCCTGATGAAGATTTTTCCTTCCAACATTACAGTATAGTAACTCATATCCTTTTAGATCATAAACTTAAATCAACAGAGGATTAGCCCTTATTCTTACATTAAGGAAATTGGTGCTCAAAGGTCAAATGTTGCTACTATTCTGAGAATGCAGCAAGGTGACATTGTGATCCTCCTCCATCTCTTGGCAAACTGATTAAAGAAAGGAAGGATGACAACAGGTTCTGCCTTTAAACTGGGAAATACATCCCTTTCTCTTTGTAGGCTGTTGTGAATTTATTGACTGACTAATCCAGTTCAGTGTCACCTCACTCCAAACCAACAAGGTAAAGAAGATAGTAAAAGAAATAAGACAGAAATCCAAAAAACCAATAGCAAAATATATGCAATAGATGTCAAAGACATCTAACTTATGCCAAGACTTGGGAACCAGAAGGCCCTCTGGTTCTGATTGCTAGCCTGCAGGCTTAGATAAACAATACACACCTCTGTTAATGAGAGATGGCTTTGTGATGCATGGAGTTTCTCCAGCCTCTGCCATTCCTAGAGAGAGGAAATCTCTCTTTGATTTAGCTCTGGTGGACAGAACTCCAGAATTGTTCATGAACCAAGGTTGGAAAAGAGTGGAGATTTTCATGTTCCCATCAGCCTGCAATTAAAATTTGAATATAGATATCTCCAAGCTCATTTCAGGATAATGAAAGCAGCATTATGTTGCAAGATCTTTCCCTTTGGGATGTGCATGTGACATCATAATGTACCTACAAAGGGGACAGGGCTTGCCTCACAATAATGTGGCATTGCTTTCTTCAGACTCTCCACAAAGATGTAGCTGGAGAAACGTAGGGAAGTAAACAAAGAATCTTCCATATTTCTATACAGGTACAGAGATAAGAGCCAGTTTGTTATACAGATACTCCTGGACTTAGAACAGCTCATTTAGTGACAATTTGAAGTTACAATGCATTGAAAAAAAAAACCATTGGAAGAAAGTGGGACGGAAAAACCACTTCACAAATCTTGCTCAGAAAACCTCCAGGGGTTAATCAAGGAAGGCACCAGAAGACGGGACTGACTGGAAAGTCACACACAAATGATAAACTGCAATGTCAGGAATTTGCTTTAGGGTTTTCTCTCTTCTCTGTGATGCTTTATACTCTGTAATATTTGGAGAATTGGGTATAATTTCAGCCTTTTGTCATCCTTCAGGCTGTGTTCAGGATGATATATCTTTTTTTTTTAGAATCTTCTTGTGATCTGATAATAATCTCAAACCACTTTTGTTTTTTTAAGAGATTAAGGCAGACAGTTTTCCATTGTCACAGGCCCACATCATCCTGTGGTCTGTCTGGAATATGGTATTTTTGTTTGGATTTTTTCTTTCAAAATTAATTTGTAAGCTGATGCATGATACAATCTGGGCAGTTCTATATTTTATGTTGATATTACATTGTTATACTTAAAGTAAAAAGGCCCTTTGTCTTTTTAAAACATATTAATCATTTTTAAAAGAATAAAAGATAAAAATAAAGGTGATAAAAATAATTAATGCAGAAATATAATACAGTATCAGTAAGAGGAAAAAGGAGTTAACATGGCTGTACAGTTAGTGCTCATGTGCTAAGGAAATTAATGATAAAAAACAAAGTAAGTTGAATTATTTAACAATAGAAGAAAATATCTGAGTGCCCAAATCTCCATTGTTTTGTTATTTAAAGACACAAAGAAAAAAGAAAGACTTCTAAAACATAAATAAATATTTAGTTTCCAACTTCCCCTTTGTTATACTCCTACAATATACAATTTTATAAACATTTAAAATGTTCCTGTATTTCTGTTCTCAGTCCTTTAGTCAATTCTTTTTCCTCTTAAAAGCTATTCTTTAAATATTTATATCTGCCTTGCTGAATAATATAAGGTAGATATAGAAGCTACTCTTGCTTAAATTTGGTAAACCTGGGTTGTGAATATGTGCTGTTGAATTGCCATTATTTCATATTTTCCAAGTTGAAGTTCCCAGTCTTATATTGTTGGTAATGTATTTCTTTTCCAATGTTGCACTAAGTTTATTTTAGGGGTTGTTAATGTATACTTTAGTAAACTATATTTTGGAATTATGCCTAGTAAAAAAAGTCATAATATTTTCTAGTTTTTATTTATTTTTATTTTTTTAATTAAATTGTTTCTTTCTTGTGAGATTGAGCTGGTTCCCAAAGAGAGGTAAGAAGGATTGATCTGCACCTCTTCATGATATGGCCAAAAGATGTTGACCTTTTATTCACCAAGAAAATAACAGTTGTCTATCTTCTACCCTCTCTCTCATACTTTGGGCTTGAGGGTTGGGTACCAGGTAAGGTGTCACCTGGAAGGTAGTTGGTTTCAGTAGGAACTGCCAGACCTCTTTTCAAAACAGAAGTTGGGGTTAGGTTATGAAAACCTAGAAGCTTCAGAGAGAGGAGATTTGAGCCTTCCACCATGTAAACCTCAGCAATCTACCATATAAGTACTTGGAGATTCTTTGACAAAGAACAAATATAGGTTACTGTATTTAAGGAACTGATCTAGAACGTGATGCTCTTCCCATCTCACAAATGATCAAGAGAGATATTTGATTTACAGAAAGCAAAAATCATATAGAAAATAACTTTATTTGTTTAGTCATACACCATCGCAGGAGAAAAAAATGATATTGACAATGAAACTATGCTCAGAAGTATCATATATATATATAACATGTACAGATCAATAATATATTCAAAAGACTCATAACTTTTTTTTTTTTACCTGCTGAATTGCCTATACAAATTAGGCAGTCTGATGACCAGCAAACTGAAACTCACATACTTTGAACACACTAGGTACCCCAAAAATAAAATTATGCTTCAAAAGACTGAAGAAAATAAAATAGAAAGCAGTAGATATAGTGGATTGATAATATCATAGAAATTACTGGAAACTGCTTGGAAAATTTCAGAATGGGAAGTAAATCATGATGTGTGCATCCATCCATGGAATTAAACTTTACTTTGTGCAACCTAATTAAGTTTATTATAAAATTTTTATGATCGCTTTACTCAAGTGTTTCTTCAGGTTCCAATTTCTATCTAGGTATTATTGTTGTTATTGTTATTACTAGCACTGTTCCTCTTCAAAGAGTCTATCCAGAGCAGTAGACAACAATGAAAATGTTAGACAAAATAGTAGGTAAACAATAGTAAAAACAATCCAAAAAACATGCAAAAATTAAAACAAAACTCATCCTTAAGGTCATCCTTTATTAAGTGATATAAACTATTCCTTTAATTGTGTATGGAATTAACAAAAGAGTGAAACCTGAGTTATATCTCTGCTTCTATGGATCCATGAGGACAGGTACAAAGGTCCCAAAACTGTACAGCTGTTCCAGCACTGATGATTTTGTTGCATAACAGGGAGCTAGTAAAGTTCTCTTTATAGACACAGAAGGAGTCCCAACTGTACAACTCAACCAATTATCTGATATAAAAAAGAATATTTCCTTTTCTTCCCACTTGAACCCCACCAATCGTTCCACCAATTTATTCAAAATTAGAGATGTCAAAGATATATAAGGGAGAGTCTAATATAATTTTGGGGTTTAGTTTAAACTGTTTATGATATTAGAAATACTGTATATTATTGTTATTTTTCAAGTAAGAGGTTCATGTATTTTATATCTGTGTAGTGGATAAAACTGAAATTTATTCTTTTTCTTCCTTTCTCTCTTTCTTTTCCTTTCGCACTCTTTTTTTTTCCTTTTTCTTTCACCTTTCTTTTCCCTAACCCTCTTTTTAAAATCATATACTTTTGAAAGATAATAATAAAAAAAGAATTGAGCCTAAAAAAGAGAAAAGAAAGAAAATCGGAGGGGCTAAATGGGAAATTAGGTTTTCCTGCATCTGTAACAAATTTGCTAATTTAAGATATTTAATCATTCTCATAATCTGAAGATGTTTTCAGAAAGCAAACAAAAACATTGTGGCTTAGATTATTTCTTTCTCTTAAAGCGTGGCTTCTTTTAGTCAACTAGAAGAAGTTAGTCATACATCTTCCTTAGTCTGGTGCTACATGATCAGGGGATATGAGGATTAGTCCAAAATGTTTGTGGATTGCTGGTCAGGAAAGCCTGTTTCATTTCCACCGATAACTGATGGAATTTAAACTTTCACTGGGCATGTTTCTCTGATTCCAAACTGATTCCTTGCTTCTGTGATGCCACCATCTCATTTGGTTTTGGCAATGAAGCCAATTATTTATGTCTCATGAAAGCATATTCAAAACAGCAGTAAAACTTAACTTTTGTTTGAAATGTAGAATTTGGGGGGCATTCAGTTTCAATGGAGCCTCTTGATTCATTTTATCTCTCAGGTTTGGGACTTCAGTCACCCTTAGCTATTCTAAGGGGGAAAGTAATTTGATCGCTTTTCAGTTCCCCATCCTGGAACGGCTTAGATTTCCAGATATGTAATTAGGAAAATACACAGAGCATGAAATAGGAACTTAGGTGGGACGAATTCAGGGCTTTTTTTGTCATAGAACGCCCAGAACGGGGTTCCGGCACCTTTTTTGGATGGAACCTTGTAGGGTAGGCAAGGCGGGTTATATGACATGTGTGAGTTCCAGCACCTTTTTTTTTTCTTTCTTTCTTTTAACAAAAAAAGCACTAGACGAATTTATTTATTTCACTTTTGTATGCGAGTCCAGGTGAGTAGCTTTTTTTTTAACTGCAGGACTAGTGGCAGTTGTGTCTTCAGCTCCTCAGTATTTAGAGCAGAAGCCTTTTAAAAATCTAAAGTCTTAAAAGTCTGAAACCTCAGACTCCTTCTCAGAAATGTATAAATACATAGTATATGGACTGTATTATGAAGGACGCCAATTATGTACCAGTACACTTATCAAAGTATTAAATATATATATAAATATATGTGAATATTTATGAATGCATTAAATCAAAAGTAATTCAACAAGGCCTTTTAGTGTATAATAGTTTTTGATAGTGAGATGTATTAAAATTAACATTTTTGGGAATTGAGAGAGAATAAATAGCTTCATTGCTGACATTCATTGTTGAAAAGCTGAATTTCCATTATAGGTTAGTCAAAACAAAGTTGTAATTATTTGGCATCCAAATTCATATCCTGCCCACCCCCGCCTCCAAATTCCTCTGGTTTAGAAGTTGCCAGAAACGCCATCATCATTTATTTCAAGCCATTTTTGAAAGACTAAGAAGTAGAAAAAATGATATCCATTATCCAGAAATCTAATTTGCATTTGGGTTTTTTCCAATTTATAATACAGTTTTTTATACTGTAATGTACTTGTGATTTTTAAAGAGACTTTTATTATCATTACCATTATTAAAACACTTTCAGGAAACTAACCATGCTAAAATAAAAGAATATGGCATTAGAATTTTTGTTAAAAAAAACAAACCCTAACTATTGCAATTTCAATTCTATTTCCATGCAAGTGAATAATACTGTGTTCAGTTGGAGCTTACTCCCAAGTAAGTGGATATATCCACTTATCTGTGTTCAAACTCTATTAACCTGAATGAGATATACTCTCAAATAGGCTTGACTGGAATTTTTATTTTTAATTTCCTTTTAATATTTTAAAATACTAGAAAAAATATTTTAAACTGGAATGAATTAAAGATTGGTCAGGAGCCAAAGCACTAACTAGGAAAGTGATTCCTGAAGAAACATGTGACCACATTTTCCATTCAAAATATTCCCAAAGTTTTCATCATAAACTGCATTTGCCAAGAAACAAGTGCATGCATGCATGCATACAGCCTGGGATTAGAAAAGAGGAAAGAAATCCAAATGGTGGAGTTTCTGTGCTGTTAACTTTTTGACCTGGCAAACGTCATCAGCCACTCCCTGGTGCATGACTTAACAGATGAACACTTCCTAGGGAAGATGATACAGATGACTTGAATAGCTCATCTTGGTTACTGTTCCATTCAAACAGGAAACTCCTAATGTTGGAGAATAAGTTTAGGGGTGAGGTGGAGCAAAACAAAGGCTGGAAACAATTTCCTTGATCGAATTTCACCAAAGAATCCAACTACATCTAGGGCATCAATATAATAAATTAACAACTCTCTTTTTGCTATATAGAACTGTGGAGA